TAATGATTGATAACATGATAATTTTTATCTATCAATCACATATTTTCAAATTTTGGAAAGTGATTGAACCCCATTTTGGATCAGGGGTTCTTGATCTCTCGAGCATTTAGAGGACACTGAAGAACATGTAGGGGTCATCAAATTTTGTGACAATTCATTTTTTCGACTAGGAAGTAGACAATAGAAGGTTTAGGCCTACAATTCAACTCAACCAGCTCATCTGAATCACTTTCTAAGTTTTGTGTTTTTTTAAAAAAAATAAAATAAAATAAACAACAAGGTTCATTTAGTTGAAAAATTCAAACCAAATTGTGCTATATCAAGTTGACTTCCCATATTAAACGGCATCTAGAATCAATCCCACCAGCAAAGAGGAATTTCAAAATCAAAATTATATAGCCATTTCATTTTTTTATTTGCCTGACAGTTTAGTTTGGCTTGACCTCTGTACAAATTTGATGCCAAAAAATTTGAAGTCAAGCTTCAAACTTTCTCCACCCATCAAGAAAAATTTCAAGAAACCTATGGAGGATTACAGATTAAAGACCTATAATGATAACAGAATGCAGATAGAGCTTTATTATGGACGCCCCTCTGCCAGTCCTAATGATTTCTGGTCGTACAGTACTCCATATGCTTCTTCTTCTTCTTACTATTATGTAGCGCCGCCGTCTCCTCTGGGGCCAACTGTGCTGCTGGCGGTTCTAGGCCCACCACCGCCGAAGGACTGGAAGCTCAAGAAAGGCAAAAGCACAAGTGGGTCAACTTCAAAATCTTGGACTTTCAATGATCCTGAGTTCTAGAGGAAGAATTACACCGATCGCATTTTTGGATTCACCGTCTGTCGCCGGTGACGCTCCTCCGATGAAGCGCCTTCTCATCTTCCCCCGCCGGGATTGGTAGACAGTGAATGAGAGGAGAGAGAGAGAAGGGAGGGGGTAGAGAGAGAAAGAAAATGATTTTTGTTTTGGAAATGAATTAGGGTAGTAAAAATATTTATTAAAATAAAAAATCTGATTTTGGAAA